CTTCCAAGAATTAAAAAAATTTTTTTTTTAATAATTGAATTTTGCAACAAATTTTATTAAAATTCTATTCAACATAATTAATTTTATTAAAATATTCTATTCAGATTAGTTGAATTTTTGTATAAAATTGTATTATTTACAAAAATAATTAGATTTGCGATTAAGAATTTTTTTGAAACTTTAAAAAAAATCTAATTTGCGACAAATTTTATTAAAATTGTATTTAAAGTAGTTAAATTCATCTGGAGAATTTAATTATTTTTGAAAACAATTGAGTTCCTGCGAAAAATTTTATTATTTATGGAAATAATTGAATTTTTTTGGGGAAATTTTATTAGAATAATTCTATTCAAACTAAATTAAATTCTTTTGATTACATTTTTTAAAATTTTATTTAAAATTATTGAAATTCTGCTTAAAAATTTATTATTTTCAAAAATAATTGCATTTTTGGATATTTAAAAAAATTTTTTTAAATAATTGAATTTTACAACAAATTTTATTGAAATTGTATAATTTAAATTTTTTAAATAACTTAATTTCTGCTTAAAATTTTATTATTTATGACAATAATTGAATTTCTGCAAAGAATTTTTTTGTAATTTTTATAAAAATAATTGAAATTTTGCCAAGAATTTTATTAAAATTTTTGAAAATAATTGAATTTCCGGGAAGAATTTTATTATTTATAAAGATAATTGAAATTTGACGATAATTTTTAAAAGTTTTTGAACATAATTGAATTTTTGCGAAGAATTTTATTACTTTTAAAAATAATTGAATTTCTGCAAATATAAATTTTCTTTTTTAAATTATTGAATTTTACAAAAAATTTTATTAAAATTGAATTAAAAATTTTTAAATAATTGAATTTCTGCAAAGAATTTTTTTGAAATTTTTATAAAAGTAATTGAAATTTTGCCAAGAATTTTATTAAAATATTTGAAAATAATTGAATTTTGGGGAAGAATTTTATTATTTATAGAGATAATTGAAATTTGACGATAATTTATTTAAAAAAATTTTTGAACATAATTGAATTTTTGCGAAGAATTTTATTATTATTGTGAATGAATTCTAAAGATTGAAATAAATTTAATTATTTGTTATCCTTATTATTTATTATTTAATATATTCCCATTATGCATTTTAAGGAGTGAAATAAATTTGAACTGGATTAAATCTCCTACATTTTTTTTAATTACAATTAATCCCAAGATATTAAAAATGAAACTCGTGATTAAAGGCAATTAATTTATTTTTAGTTTTCAAATCGTTTATTATAATTTTGAAGAATAAAAAAGAAAAAGATTATGAACACTCATATACTTAAGACGTGTACTTAACGAATTACATGCTTGTTTAGTGATAGGATAAACATATCTCTTGATATACTGCAATTAACTTCCTTCACGTTCATTCGACAAGATTCATCTTTTTCACAAAGAAAACGAAAATAAAAAAAAAAGTTCGCATTATTTTCAGCAACGCAATGCAAAAAAAAGAAATAAAGAAAAATTATCAGTACCATTGATATTAAAATTTAAAAATAAATAAAAAAAATTTTTCATATATTTTTTGGTATTTTTGAAAAATACTGTACTCTACATTAATTGCCACGCGTAACCGACAGGTATTCTATATAGTGAAAAAGGAAAAAAAACATTTCTCTATGAAAGTGTGCGTATCGGAATTTTATAAACGCGCAAGATTCATTTAAATCTTCGCGCGAGTTCCATGGAAATTCCGCGAGTGATACGAATTTCTTTAACAACTTTATATAGTTGTGAAACACTTATGGCCATTCTGATTTTCTTGGAATTATGTGAATTCCATGCCACATGAAAAAATTGCAGTCTTCATTATTTTTTTTGTCTTTTTTCTTAATTAAATTCCGCAATCAATTTCGAATTAAATTTACAGAATCGTTTATTGGTTCCTGTGCCACTGAACTGTAATGTATACTATTGTATTTTGTCTACTTTCAAGATCTACTATTAATATTTATACTATCTAAATTATTTCTATTTCGGACAATAATTATTTTCTTTTTAAATAACTTAATTTTTCAAGAACTATATCATAAAATTATGACTTATAAATTATTTAATGAATAATTTCTACAATTTTCATAAATACTAGATTTATAGAAGAATTTTAGTAAAAAGATTTTTATAAAATTCGTCTCAAGAATTCAATTATTTAAAAATAATTTAAGAAAGTTCTTTTCAAGAATTCAATTATTTTTAATAAATAATAAATTTCTTCTCAGGAATTTAATTATTTTCATAAGTCATAAAATTTCCACAGGAATTCAATTATTAAAAATACAAAATTTGATACAATTTTTCGAAAAATACAAATTATTTAAAGATTTTTATAAAATTCGTCTCAAGAATTCAATTATTTAAAAAAAATTTAACAAAGTTCTTTTCAAGAATTCAATTATTATTATAAATAATAAAATTCTTTACCGAAATTCAATTATTTTTATAAACTTGAATAAAGTTCCTTGCAAGAATTCATTTATTTATAAAAATAATAAAATTCTTCACAGAAATTCAGCTATTTTTATAAACTTGAATAAAAAATTCGTTGGAATAATTCAATTATGTTCAAAAGTTAAAAAAAAATTCTTGGCAAAATTTCAAGTATCTTTATAAATAATAAAATCTATCTTCGAAGTTCAACTATTTTTAAAAGTTTTAATAAAATTATTGCCAAAATTTCACAGAAATTCAATTATTTACAAAACTGTTATAAATAATAAAATTCTTCATCGAAATTCAATTATTTTTATAAACTTGAATAAAATTCGTTACAAGAATTCAATTATTTATAAAAATAATAAAATTGTTCACAGAAATTCAGTTATTTTTAAAAACTTGAATAATAAATTCGTTGGAAGAATTCAATTATTTCCAAAAGTAATAAAATTCTTCGCAGAAATTCAATTATGTTCAAAAATTAAAAAAAAGACTCGTCAACATTTCAATTATCCTTATAAATAATAAAATTTATCTCCAAAATTCAATTATTTTAGAAAAATTTTAATAAAATTCTTAAAAAATTTTTAATTATTTTCATAAATAATAAAATTCATCCCAGGATTTTAATTATTTTTGATATAATTTTAATCGAATTCCTCGACAAAATGTAATTGTTTTTGAAAATTTTATTAAAATTCGTCAAAAGAATTCAATTATTTAAAAATTTGTTGATAAAATTCTTTATGAGAATTTAATTTTCACTAACATTTAATTATTCAATAAATTATTTATTTTTTAATTTAAAATAATTGAATTCTTCTAGAATTTTCTAATAAAAATTGATTCAAAAATGAATTAATGAATAATCGATTTGTTATTTATGAAAATAATTGAATACTTGCAACGAATTTTATTAACTACATTTTTTTTAAATGATTGAATTCTTGCAAAGAATTTTATTAGAATTTTTGTAAATAATAAACTTTTTTTTGACAAATTTTATGGCGATTTAAATTATTACAAAACATGATAAAAATTAGGAGAACAGTTTAATTATTTTTTTAACAGTTTTGTTTGTGCACTTAAATTGTTAATACTAATTATTATTTTGCAAAATAGTCAATTTTTGAAAAACTCACCCCCAGCTGTAGATTTTTCAATATTTTCGGATAATTTGTCCCTCTGCTCATATCTGAAATGAAAAAAAATATGAAATTAGACAAAAATGCAAATTAAAATAATTTATTTAAATTTAAAAAAAATAGAAAATGAATGTCGAAAAAAATTAAATAGAAGGAGATTAAAAATAAAAACTTATTATTAAACATAATTTATAAATTATGTTTAATTATTAAGTTTTCATTGATAATTTCCGATAGATTTTTTCATTTTTTCTATAAATACCTACAATTTTTAATTTTTAATAGTAACTTTTTTCCACTTAATTAAAATCTATTAAAGACTCTAAATTTGAATTAGTGACTGTCATATTTTGCTTTTGAATTAGTAAAGTTTACTAATTATTAATAATTTCTAATTGAGTTTTTGTATTTGAATTTGTAAATTTTACTAATAAATAGTAATTTCTACTAATCTATTAGTAAAATTTACTAATTCAAAAGCAAAAAGTCAGTCACTAATTTAAATTAGTAGTACACATTTTTACTAATTCGAATTTATAGAGTAAACATTTAGACTAATTTTTAGACAAAAACTGCTAATTCATTTGTTGAGGCTACTAATTAATTTAGTAAATATTATTAATTGAAATAGTAGCCTTAACAAATTAATTAATAGTTTTCTACTAAGAATTAGTAGTTTTTGACTAAATATTAGTAGTTTTTGACTAACAATTGATAGTTTTAACTAAAAATTATTCAAAACTCTTACTAATTAATGTAATGAATAAATCATTTCTATTTCATTAGTGAATAGTTACTAATAATTAAAATCAACCAAATAAATATTAAAATTTTTTGCTAAAAATGAATAAAAATAATCACTAATTCAAATTCGAGGACAAATTTTCTAACTCCTGACATTTGATAGAAAATTACCTTAAACTCTATAATCTCTCATCCTCTCGTGCTGGCATAAAAATAACATAATTTTCAAACAATTAGAAAAAAATAATTACGTAATTTTCCAATTTATGGACAATGCAATTAGTAATATACATATGTGAATTATTTCAAGGAAAATGTATTCAATTTCAATTCAAAGTGAACTTTTTGAATACAGTTATAAGAATCTTGTGTCGTTTAAAAAGGAGAATCCGTTCCCCTCTTTTATATGAAAGAAGGGATTATAATGCAGTTGATAAAAATCTTGTTTGTAAAAGAAGGCATTAACGATCCGTGGTGTATTTTATTTTATACTTTGATTATTTTTTTTTATTATTATTCTTCCTCTTCATCTTCTTCTTCTCCTTTCAAGTTTCAGTGTTAGTAATAAACACGTCGGAAACTCGGAAGCCATTGACGGATGCGCTCTTGCCCAGCGAAGGATTCTGGGCGCAGTCTTCAGTTAGTACTGTTATAACTTCAGCTCGAGGCTGACGTTGAACTTCTACGGTTCGTTCGTACAACGTGTGGATATGTAGACAGTTTCTATGCGGGAGTTCAAAAAGTGTGTCTTTTTACATTTAAATGAAAAATTATTTTTTAATTTCTCCTTTTACTTTTGTTATAAATAATTATTTTTAATTTTTCAAATTATTTTGCCCTTTTCCAAATTTTTGAAAAAATTACTATTTTTCAAATTTGGAAATAATTGCTTAATTAAATTATTTAATTATTTATAATTGTTAATTAAATTGTGAAAAGTTTCTGTATTCTTTTTTTTTACTAAAATTCTGTAGGATAAAATCTCTTGTGATAGTTTACCTTTAACTCAAATGCCGGAAAAAAAACCCAAACCGGTTACATCCCAATCCAAATTAAGTATAAAAAAAGTAGATAATCGATATCACATTCAGAGAAATGAACTCTCAAAACAAGTCGAATTTTTTTCACCAATTTTCTGTACAATATTTTTTTTAATATTAAAAAATTTGTTAGTGTTCAAATATATTTCAGTGGTCAAAAATATTTCGGCGCTGGAAAATATTTTTGCGTTAAAAAATATTTCTGTGCTAAAAATATTTTTGCGTTAAAAAATATTTCGCTGCTAAAAATAAAAAATATTTTTGCGTCAAAAAATATTTTTAATAGTAAACAAACATTTTTAATAGTGAAAAATATTTCCAATAGTTAAAGAAATATTTTCAGTAGAAAATAATATTTTCAATAGTTAATAAAATATTTTGAGTAGTAAATAATATTTTGAATAATAAAAAATACTATTCAATAGTAAAAAATAATTATCAGTATTAAAAAATATTTTCAATAGTAAAAATATTTTTAAATTGAAAATATTTTTAATCCTTCAAAAAATGTTCAACATTAAGAAATATTTTCAATTTTAAAAAACATTTTGAGTTGTAAATATTTTAATTGTAAAAACTAGTACGAAATAGTTTCAATATTAAAAAAATTTATTTATTAACAAAAAATATTTTTAATAGTAAGCAATATTTTCAATAATAAAAAATACTTTCAATAGTAAAAAATATTTCCACTATTAAAAAATATTTCCAACATAAAAAAATATTTTCATGGTCTCAAAAATAATTCCTTTTAATTGTAAATTAGGAAAAAAAAATTAACAAATTGTTCAGTATTCAAAATTCTTTTCCACATTTAAAAGTATTTTCCATTAATATTTCCAAATTTCCATTTTTTCCATATTAAGAAATAATATTTTTTTCAAGAAACATTTAAAAATTCACAATAAAGAAAATTAAATTTCCTTTCTTTTAGAAATGTTCCCAGTAACATTAAATATAAAATAATTTCCGAAGAAAATCGAAAATCGAATGAGAAGTGTGAGAAAAAAGAAAATTACAGCAAGTAAACAAAAATCAAATTGTGATCGAATAGAACGAAAAGTGATAATGTGATATTATTATATACATAATTATTATTATGTATATAAAAGACGAGGTGTGCTCAAATGACTGTGAAATAAAATTTTGAAATTTCTCTCTCGTGTGTTACTATTATAAATATTTGCTAATGTAATAATTTTTGGTAAGCACGTGTGAAGGAAAAAGGAAAAAAAAATGTTGTGCCTCAAAAAACGAAGAACTTACAGTTTCACGCAAGGAACGTGTAATGAACTTCCGAGGAGATCGAAAAAGGATAATATGGATAACGAATCCTTGAACATTGCCGTTACGACATTGCCTCGAAAGCACAGGTGAGTCAGATTTTACACACATATATTATATTAGCCTCGAAGAAAAAAAAATATATAATTCCCTCCTATTAGCTTCAATGGCAAAAAAATCGTACACTATGGAAAAACTATTCGCCTCACTGCCCGAGGAATAAAACTTAATTATCGCAGTCCTTGTTAAACAATTAGCGCACAGAAGCCTTCAAACGGTGTAATGTTTTAAAATTTTCTCAAAAAAAAAAAAAAACACTACTTTATATTTTTCATGAAGAAACACTCAAAGGAATACTTTTTTGCCGAGAAGCAATGCCAGTAATTTTGTTGGATTTTTTTTTTCCGAAAAAATAAATTACAACAGTAGAAATTAAAAAAAAAATTCCTAAAAGAAAAAATGTCCAACATTGCATTTTATTAATAAATTATTAAATAAAATAATTATGATAATTTAAACTATTAATTTATTATATTTCCGCTACTTATTTCTTCAAAAAAAAAAATTAATTACTAATTATTATTAATATATAATAATTAATAATAAGCCTAAAAATTAATTTTTAATAATTACCATATACTTTTTTCATACTTAATTTATTAATCTCCACCAATTATTTCTTCTGGTAAAGAATTTATTTTAAGTAATAGATATATGGTAATTCTCCTTTTAACTGGATTGCGACAATATTCTGAATTTTATGAATGACAACAAGAAAAAAAAAACATTTATAGGCATTTCCTGATGGTAAAATCGATAATTTATAAATTATAATTAATAACGCTGACTGAGGAAAAAAAATGTGTTTTTTTCTGCTTACTTGGATTAATTAGCCATAGAATACAAAAAAGGCAAGGATATATAATATTAAATTAAAATGTGTATTGCGTTTAAATTATAATGAGTAGTCGAATAATTTACATTACGATACGATTTTTATGCTTTGAACTCTTTGAACTCAAATTTGTATACGACGTAAAATTAGGATCGTAAATTCATTAATGTCATTATAATGATTTCTTAAAAGATATAAGTGAGAAGAAAAAAATTCACATTAATTTTGAATTTTGTTATTAAAAAAAAAAAATTATTTTGTGAAATGAGAGAAAAATTGACACTGGTACTTTCTGAAAATATTTTCGATAATTCCTTAAAAATTTTCAGTATTAGTTTTTTTTATTTTATTCTATTCTGCTTTTATGGTATTCATTGCTATTTTTTTAGAATTCTATATTGTTAAATAGTATTCTATACTAACAAAGAGTATTTTACCCAATTTAATAATGTTTTATAATGTTCTATAGTATTCTATGTATTATTAAAAAGTATTCCTTACTGCTTACTAGTATTCTTTACTATTTAATAGTATTCAATACTGTTTAACAGTAGTTAATATTGCTCAATTTTATTATGTACTGCTTAATAGTATTCTGCACTATTCAATGTTATTCGATACTGTTAAATAGTGTTCCATACTATTTAATATAGAATATTACATTCTCTTTAATAGTATTCCATTTTAATAGTATTCTACATTATTGAATATTATGCCACACTATTGAATAGTATTCCACACTATTGAATATTATGGAATACTATTCAATAGTATTCCACGCTATGGAAAAGTATTCAACACTATTCAATAATATTCTACACTATTGAATAGTATACCACGCTATGGAATAGTATTCAACACTATTCAATAGTATTCTATAAAATATTCTGTAAAATAGAATAAAATCTTAACAATAAAACAGTAGGTAATACTATTAAAAACGTGTAGAATAAAAAAAGAGTTATAAATTACGATAAAATAGTAAAGAATACGAAAAATTTACAGAATATGATAAAATCGTAAAGAATACCAAAAATTTATAGAACACGATAAAATAGAAAACAATGCTAAAAAAAATTCTACAGAATACCATAAAATAGTATAGAATGCAATTAGGGACTGTAGAATACAGTTGAATTTTATAGGAAACCATAAAAAAGTGCAAAGTTCTATAAAATACTGTAGAATACTAAAGAATAAATTAGTTAATCCATAAATAAATAGAAGCATTAAATTAAAAATCCATAAATAAATAGAAGCATTAAATTAAAAATCCATAAATAAATAGAAGCATTAAATTAAAAATCCACAAATAAATATAATCATTAAATTATAAATTATAAAGAATGTTTTATAATATTTTTAAGTATTCTTCACTATTTTTTAACAACTTTACAAAATTTTATAGTAGTCTACACTTTTTTACAGTATTCCAAACTATTTTATAATTTATCTACTTTGTTTTATTGCATTCTTTTTATGCAATACTACTTTTTTATTTATATTATTTATATTATTTATAGTATTCTTTAGTATTCTATGCTATTTTAAAGCTATTCTTAATTATTTTGCTCTTTTCTTAAATTTTTTGGTATTCTACACTAGTTTATAGTTGTTTTTAATTGTTTTAAACATTTCTTATACTTTTAAAGTATTTTACACTGGTTTGAAGTTGCTTTTTATTGTTTTAATCTTTTCTTAAATTTTTAAAGAATTCTTCACTACTTTAATCAACTTTAGACAATTTTATAGTCGTCTACACTTTTTAACAATATTCTAAACTATTTTATAATTTATCTATTTTGTTTTATTTAATTATTTTTTATGCAATACTATTTTTTATTTTATGTTTATATTATTTATGGTATTCCTTAGTATTCTACACTATTCTACACTATTTTAAAGCTATCTTTAATTATTTTCTTCTTTTCTTACTGTTTTAAATTATTTCTGAAATTTTAAAGTATTCTACACTGTTTTAAAGTACCTTTTTATTGTTTTAATCTTTTCTCATATTTTTTTAGTATTCTACACTATTTTAATCCTTTGAGAACACATGGGGTTATTTTAATTTCATTTTAATTAAATATTTTAATCATACTTTACATTTTTAAAGTACTCTACACTATTTTTATATTGCTTTTTATTGTTTTGATTTTTTCTTAAATTTTTAAAGTATTCTAAATCGTTTTAAACCTTCGACAATACATGGGGTTAGTTTAACCACATTTTTTTTCGTTAAACAATTATTCTTTAAAAAAGACGTTCTTTAATTAATTTTTTCTTAATTCTCTCAGTACTTCTACATTCTACTATTTAATTTTTCTATGTTCTGGTAAATTTTGCTATAACTTTTGAAAAATGATCGCGGACCATTCGTTTTCAAATGGAAGACGATGAAAGTTCTTTTGGGTCAAACTGACTCCTGTGATTTCTTTTTGACTGAAAGAATAGATGTATTCCGGAAGTTTACAAAAATTTTGAGCTATTTTTATTTATTAATTCACTTTTCTATTAATTTAATTAATTTATTTATATTCTAGTTTATTAATTTATTAAAAATTAAAATTCGACAAAGTAATAAGAATACCTGTTTTCTTTTCTGTAAATTATTCGAGTGTAAAATTACCCTTGTATTCGCATCCGATGAGTGAGAATTGATAAGACGATGACATTTTCTGTTAAGAAGATGAGACACGATAGTTGAATGAAGCCATTTTAAAGTCATACGAAAGAGAAAGAGGAATAATAAACACTATACGTTCTTATATTGCACATTAGAAAAAGATCTTCAAGATTGATTATTATTATATTGCGAGTTGTGGCTCTCGTATAGGTATATAAATGTGACTCGAAACGATTAAGGTCAAAAAAATAATACTACCACCGTGCGCCTCATTGTTGAATGATTATTGTTGTTGTTATTATTATTATTATTGTATATAATACACCGTACGCGTGTGCAAAGATTTTTTTCTTTCATTTTCAATAATAATTCATGTAACTCAGCTTATTGAACTACTTTTACTTACTTTTACCTCACTGCGTCCTTCGTCAGCGGGAGAATATAATTGTTTATCCACAGCAAAAGAGGTATAATAATAATAACAACAATAATGTCAGACGTAACGCGAAATAAAACTCACTTGCGGGGAAAAATTTTTAACCACACACTCCACAACAATTTCAGAAAATAATAATAAAAATCTACTCTACAGTGAGGTTAAATAATTTTTTTTTGGTTTTTTCTTATATAGAGAATTGTACGAAAAAATATACGAGAAAGAATACTGAAGAATACTATTAAATAGTACAGAATACCATAAAATAAATAAACCATAAAACAATAAAGAATACTTTAAAAAAATTAGAGTATCACAAAAGTGTATAAAATACGATAAAGTATGATAAATCCAGAAATAAATATAGAAATAAATAATTAAATGTAACTTACAAGTGAATGGAGAAACGATAAATGTCCAAAAATCGTAATTGGAAAAATCTGCAGTCCTGAAGAATCAAACCCCGAACCTTGATACTGTTGCGAATCCGGTAGCGAAACCACTCAGCCATCTCACTGCGCGATGACAATCAGTTAGAAAAGTATCACTGAAATTTTAATAATTTTGATTTTCCAAATTTATTACATTGCAAAAATTATAATTTTTTAGTAAAAGACAAATTTTCTCTAAATTGACACAAAATTTCAAAAAAAAAAACAAAGAAATAAAAAGCAAAAAAGAAAATGGAGAAATGTGTGAAATTCTTTTCCGCGAATCAATTCCCCTTGTTGAATTGGACCTCCTGGCATTGAAATATTTGTAACACAGTATCATATTATTATGGTCTGGAGTTTCAATTCAGCCTTGAAAGTTAAGTTTGGTTTGAAACGCTATTCAGTCAATCAGAACTGAGAATCAACTCTTAAATCTTGTTTTACCCTCAAGCTTGTCTGAAAATTATAGAGTTAAGAGGTTCCTGAATTTTCCCGGTAATCATTTAAAAGCCTATATAAGCAAAGAATTGCGAAAAAAAGAAAAATTTGTCATTTTTTTTTGTTTATCTTTAATGTCCCGAGAGACCTTATAATTTTATTCCATATGAGTAATGAGATGATCAATTTTAAAAGAAAAGAAAGAATACTCACTCTCAACTTCTCTATCATGTGGAAACTGAATATAAATGTTAAATTTT